GTTCGGTCCTCGCCTTCGTATGTAGCCCTTGTTATCCGGATTCCCCACACCGCCCCTGGTCGAGCAGGCGCGTTACCATTGGCGAAGCGGTTCCATAACATGTGGTTCTAGGATCGGCCCTCGCGGAGGAATGTCTTAAAAATGATAAACCAAACTCAATTAATCACCAGGCATTTTGTCCATATGACTCCCTCCAGATATCGCCTTTCAAGTGCACCATAAACTGGCCATCTACGTTAATTTGCTTCGTGATGGTCACGATCAAATGAGGCAAAACTCCACGAATACATGAACGACCAAAGCATCGTCAGTCTAGTGTATGATAGGTAGACATCGTTACGGAAAGATCATACGATTTACTTCGTTGAAGTGTTTTCCAGAAATGCTGCAAATCACGCCTTTATCAACGCTATTGCTGCTGCTGCAGCCTCACAAACCGGTGAAACAATCGCACTTGACGTGACAGCTATGATCGCCATGGGGATTTTAAAAGTGGCGTCAGTAGTGACCGACAAGGCAGCAGCAATGAGACGGGGTTTAAGGCGATACACCGAACTTATCTGCAATGGCTGTGCAGCTCATGAAGTGAACCTGCTGTTTCAGGATGTGTGCAAGCTCGACAACTTTGCCAGTGTATTGTATCGAGTGCGCAACATCACAAGTTTTGTCAAAGATCACAATGCGTTGACTAAGCGCTTTGAACGTATACAACCCAACCTTTGTGTCTGCCGGCCCTGAACTTGCAGTGACTCCTGTAGAACTCAATGCACCGGATGAACGCGGACACTACTACAACTGGAAGTCTGGTGAGCATCATGATGGGAGAAGAAAGCGACGTAGGCGCCAGTGATGGTGACGAAGAGTCAAAGGAGTAAACATATTGGCGTAATATAATTTTTATTATTCATTGCACAAAGGATCACTTACGTAGGAATTAATTCAATTCAACTAAATTCCCTGACAACACATTTACAATAACGTACTATTAATTATTAGTAGTGGATCGCGAAACATCCGGATAATTAACCGGAAATTAGTAGGGGGGCTCCTCGGCCTGGTTCGCTTCGCTCCCGGCCTCCGGTGGTGCTCCCAGAAATTAGATAGATCATTGCTGTTATACTGAGTCGCTGCGCGGGCGAACGGGCCTGGTTCGCTACGCTCACGGCCCTGGCCTAAGCTAGCTCCTGATAGTTCCGGATAAAATGTTTCGCGATTGTTTCGTGACCATCATTCTCTATTACAACAATGTATTGACACTATTTAGGAGTGTTGGTAACTAATCATTGCTGCCTTACCTGTTTTCAAATGTTTCCCGAAACACAAATGTTTTTATCCTAGACTACCAAGGCAAAGGATAACCTTTGCAGAATCCATCGACGAGCGCTCCGTTAGCCCCGTTAACCCAGCCTCGGTCTATATCTCCGTTGCAGAACTTTGCCATCAAAGAAACCGAGGTGTGGGATGGAGAAGTCAATGGCCTTGGTGTCCCCCCCCCCGACGAAGCGCAGGTTTAAGACGAAGCTTTGTGTTTATGGAATACAATTGCTCATGGTCAAGGTTCATTGGCAGCGTCTGGTCCCACGAAGATGCGACCGTTGGAGTACTGTAGTCTTTGCATAATGCATTATATACATAGAGAACGTGAGTGTTGTCTTGCGCCGGTGTTCGCAACCGACGACTTCCGTGTTTAAAACGGTGACCTCGATGACAAATCCAAAAGTAACTTCATTATCCAGTCAATCAATCAGTTCCCTCCTTTCACTTCACAACTCTCTACAAGTCATGTATCGGTCAGTGTACCATCAGCTCGGAACATTTGCACTCCTCAAATGTCTTCCTGTTGCGGACCAACATTCGGCTACCCACACTCAGGCACGGGGAATCGAACAGATGCTCGGCCGATAACACTTCCCCCCCTACATTGGGTGGCCACATGCACTTGTGAGATCGTCAATCATTTTGCTCGCGCCGTCTTCGGTGCTCCGGGCCTTGGACCGCGACGGAATTGCACAGGAACGTCTTCGTAGATCGATAAGACCGGTTCCCAGGACGACTCCAGATCGTGCAGACAAGCCACTTGATCAGGAACTTCCCAGACCCCATCTCGCAAACTCAGGTCCCAGAGGTCTTCCACGTAAAAACATTCATCGCTGAACGCAATTTGGGCCTTCAAATCTTCATTGACTTCACGTCCACCTCTACACTACAAGCAGAGCCTGCACGCATGGTGCAGGGACGTCGCTCCTGGAGGCGCCAGCTGCTGGACTTCCATGAGGTAGTTGGAGACCACCTTCACGACCCGAACGGTCCCTTCCAACGCAACGTTAGCTTTCCCGGATGCTGGAGAGCCCGGGACTAAAACAATATCGCCTAACGCAAATTTCGCCGGCTTCACAGTACGTTGACCTATCCCGACGGTACCAGGCCTTAGCGCGCTTTGCTGCATAACTTCCAGGGTATCTGCGAGCTCGGCCACGTGGCGTATCGCCCGGGACTTAATCCAGTCGATCGTTATCTCCCGGGGCTCGTCCGGGTGGACCAGTCCGGTCAGGGGAGGTGTAGCAGGCAGGCCCGTAAACGCCGTCGTTGGCGCTACGCCGTCCAAACGGTCGACCGGCTGCTAATTCAGGGCAGATTGTATCAGGGGTAACACCATCGGCCAGTATCCGGGTTGCAAGCGCATCTCGCTGCACATATACTTCAGAATCCGGACGATGATTCGGTTCACCACCTCAACTGTCCCGTTGGCCAGAAGCAGTGTGGTGTGTGACAAATGGTGATGAACACCAAACATACAACCCAGGGTACTGACCAGTTCGTTATTGAAATGGGACCCAGAGTCGGATACCCAGGTCCTGACAACCCCGAACAGGCCAAACCATTCCATCAACATCGCCGCGGTCTCTTCTGCAGACGCTGTCGTACTGGCAGGCAACCGAACAAACCCGCTCATGTCATACTTGATAACCAGAACGTATTTCAGGCCTCCGGAAGCGTCTCGGATGTACCGCCAAACTCGGGAGCCGCAAACGTTGCTGGTCTCTCGTAACTCCAGGCCTCATCAACCGCCACCGGTTGTCGCCTTCCTTGTGGTGACTGGAACAGCTGCCGCGCAGTCGCAATGGCCCGGGGCCATCCACGGTCTTCAAAACGGTCCACGCACGGTGCACGGGCCGCAGGACTCGTCGAGCGATCCGACCGAGATCGGGCTCCGACAGAGTCCCCGTGGTCGCTACTGGGTAGCTCCACGTCCAAGGCATGGTCGTTTCCTGTTCCAGGAAACACCATGCGTTCAGTCGCCAGAGTGTCTGTAAGACAGCTAAATTATTCTTCGTTGTCTTGCGCCAGTGTTCGCAACCGAAGTTGATTATTTCCAACGACCTTATTTTGGTAATTGACATGGCAATGCTGTGTGTGCAATGGCAGCAGTTTGCCGCCACGTTGCGGAGTAAGTGCGGTGTAGTTAGCGTTGTTCGTCGGTATTGACTACATAACTCATGCCGTTATACCAGTGATGTGTTTCGCAGACAAAGACCCAGTAGCAATCTTACATCACCGTTTACAAAGTCAACGTCGAATTGCTGGCCCGCCACCAACTTGTCAGGATTCAGCGAGTTAACGATGGATACGAGTCTGTCATTGCCCTGAACTAGCCCTCAGCAATATTGCTGGGCGATGGCTGGGCTGCTATCATGAATGCCCATTTTTGTAGTACAGTTGGTTTTGCAAAGGGCGATGACACACACCAACCACGACAATAGTGAACGCACGAGTAAAGCGGGAATACATTCAAGATCACTCGATCGTCATGAATGCTCGAGTGATCTTGAATTCGTTGCCGCTTAACGGTAGTCCAATACGGTTTTCCCGAACAAACAGTCGGAGGCCAGAGGGTTCGACAAAGTGCTTGTATCACTTGACTCATCGAGTTTGTGAACTTAGCAATTTCCTTGGGCGAGTGAATATGAAGGCAATGGCACGAGTAGAATATATCACGGATAACCTGCAAAATATACTTGCGTCATATCATATCCCTCAGCGTCGTGGGATATCCCACCAACCTGTATTTTTATTGTATTTTCATATTCAAAAATCTACGTGATATAATGAAAGCAAGATATAAAGCGTTGCCGAATATTTAGTCGCAATCATCCTTGGACAGATGTAGTAGTAAAAATTTACTATACGTATACAAGCGTACCCTAAATAGAAATACTACACCGTCGACCGTAATTAGTGCGGATCCAGAATTGATGGATCACGTACAGTGTACAGTAGTATAGTGTACCGTAGTAGTGCGGATCAATTTCGTGTAATATTGGGGGTTTGGGGTGTATGCCACGAGGCCAAATAATGACGATTGTATATGATGTGGGTGCACTATTGAGTGTTTTACATCAACGCCGATTTGTGCTGTGTATTTATGTGTAGCGATGTGGCGACACCTTGCCCGCACCCAGCTCGTAGGTGCCTGGCCCATGACGCACACTAGCTAATCCTTGCCTGGGGATGTGGCTCAAGGGCATGTATAGCTTAGAATAGCTAGCCTAGTGAAGCCCCCAAGGTCTCAACCGCACCCGCATCCATTGTGTACAAATGTGCATTTTAGCGTAGAAGTAGTGAAGTAGACGAAGAAGATTTCATAGGGATGAAGGCTAAGGATATCGTAGTAGATCCTCAGTTGATGCATTGTCCATTTTGCCTTCAACTACCTACGCTTCCTCCCGCAGTGCTACAAGTGATAGCACTTCCTTGTTCTCTTGTCCCATGCAAACCGCCGTACGTAGCCAGTCTTCTTAGACGGTTGTGTGGTCGTTTGCAGACAACACATCGCCAAACGTTTTGAAAACGTAGTCCCTGCTACGCGTTGCCTGGTCATAGTCTCAGCAACAAAATCTATACACGTACTGAGTGATATGCTAGTGTATGCCCCGTACCAAGACCCGCAAGCCACGAACGACATCGGCGAATCATTCGACTATCCAAATTTTCCGGTTAAGTTACGCGAAGACCTTTGCGTGCTGACCCGTCACCAACGCGTGGCTATCAACAAGTTGCGTGCTCATATCCCCGATGCCTAGAACTCCGACGCGCGCAAAGCTATCCACGAGGTCACCAACCTATTGATCCACCTGAACGACCAAATCGAGCTACTGATTGAAGGATCCATCCACCGGAAGATCCAAGTGTACCACAAGGCCTGCAAGATCAAGGCTGAAGCAAGAGTTGATCGAAGTTCGAAGTAGAGTAATTTCACCGGAATTACAAAAAACGAAGATGTATGAATGAAGTTTTGTGCAAAATGACAAAATCCTTTCAGCGACAGACATGAACAGCTGCTGGAAATGCTTACCCGCGCCCAAGTCGCCCAAGTGGAAGCGAGCGAGCGTTTGGCTAGTCAACACATGGAACGAGCGACACGACAAACAGAGCTTAAAGTTAAAGGATTAAAAACTCCCCAGTATTATGGACGAATGGACGAAAGTATTAGTCTATACATCCACCAAGTTACGACATTTCTCCAGACAAAGAACGTGGATTACCGAGAAAACGATGGGACTCAACATCGATGCATTGCCATGATGGTGGCAAATTTCCGTGACCTTATCGCAGCCTGGTATCAAGAAAGGCTTTCGCGCGGTGAATCTCCCAGCACCCTCATTGACTGTAAGGAGAGCTGCGAGCCGAGTTTGAACCCGACTATTTACAAGATCGGCTGCGTGATCAGCTATATGGTACCTGGGAGAGTTCGTAGCATTCCATGGCTTCGAGGTTGCCTATCTCCTTCTTGCACGCTTCAAGCAAGTAGCCGGTGGCGTCAGCCGACTGCATAGCTTCGTGGAACGTCGCAGACACGTCCTCGTCGACGTCTGTAGCATTGAAGCACGCATCGTAAGCTGCGTTGGCTGCGTCGGACGGGTCATCCCGGTCGATGGGGTGTTGCCACGGCAATTTTGTTGCGACGCCGCGCGTTTCCTCCGTCCGCATGGTCTTGTGCGGCGATTGTCCACGGTCGCCCGCCTTCCGCGTTGGTTGCGCGGTTGTGGCGCTTGCACGGACCTTGGCATTGCGCGACGTAGAGCACTTGGAGTCGACGGTGGTGGCTCGTGCTTGGTGCCTAGCAGCGTCCATGCCTTCCACCGCTGCTTGCTTCGTGCGGCCTGGTGACGTCGACTTCTTGTTTGAGGGTCGGTGCGATGGATCCCAGCGCGATTCCCGTGGTCCTTCTTCGTGTGTTGGCGCGGCCACCCCGGCAGCTTCGGCGGCTCTGCGGCTGTTTCTCGTGTCGTGTCTCGTGACTTGTGGCGGGTAGTGAGCGAAGTGTTGCCCCATCAGGCGAGCCGGGCTAGACTTGCGGTTTGAAGGGCTCTTGCCGCGCTCCGAAGTCATGCTGCTGGCCGAGCGCTGTGGTGGTGTTTGCGTGTTGGCTAGGTCCATGTCAACGTCTTTCTTCGTGGCTTGCGCCATGATGCCGCATTTGCCGTCGCGCTGGTCGTCGCTATCCTCGACTTACACGGTGCGTGGGCGATGGAATTCCGTTTCCTTGAAGGTGCAGTCCACCGTGAACACCGTCTTCTTGTCTTCTAAATCGTACACCTTGCAGGCTTTCTTGACTTCGCTGTAGCCGAGGAACATGCACAGCTTGGCTCGCGACGCAGTCTTGTCTTGCGCCTCGTTGCGGTGCCAGGCCACACAACCGAACACCTTGAGAGACGTGATCTTGGGCTTGGCTCCGCGGATCAGCTCGTGCGGCGTCACATCGGCCGTCTTGTTGTTCGGTGTCTGGTTTCTCAGGAAGGCTGCCGTATTTACGGCTTCGGCCCACCAGTGCTTGGCCGCGTTGGCGTGGAGCAGCATTGTGCGCCCCATCTCCACCAGCGTGTGGTACATCCGCTCCGCCGTTCCGTTGGAGCCTTGGGGCGCTGACTTCGTGGTGAATGCCGCGTTGCTTGAGGTATAGGGTACGTATTCCATGACGGCCTCGTAGGCATCGCTCTTCTGGGATAGGAAGTTGACCCGCACGTAGTTGATGGCGTCATCCGTGAAGGCGATGTAGTACTTGGCGCCGTTAGGCGAGGCGGTCTTGGCTGGGCCCCATAGGTCGGTGTGAACGCAGGTGCCGAGCGGGTGTCGTGGGTGGTCGCCTGTCTTAGGTACGGAGGTATGCTGTATCTTGCCTCTGATACAGTCTTCGCATGTGATTGCCTTGGGTAGGTCCGTCGGGCCGCCGATGGATGCCTTGCTCGCTGCCTCCATCGAGCCGGCTGGGATGTGTCCCATACGAGCGTGCCAGAGCATGGCATCGGCTGCCTCTGCCGCGTTGGCCTCGCCATCCATACCGGGGAGGATGACCTTTCCTTGGATGGCATACAGGTACGAGTCGTTCCATCGAGCCGTGATGGACAAATTGTTCGTGTTCCGGAGCTGGCAGTGGTCTCTCTCTCTTCAAGACCAGCGAGGCGTCCCCTGATTGGCGGTTGATGCGTCTGATAGACACGAGCGTTTTCTTTAGGATCGGTACGTAAAGGACGCTCTTGAAGGTGGCCGTACGTCCTGTTTCTTAGGTCGCCCATGGCGGTCACTGGGATGGGGTGGCCATTGGCTAGGCGGATGCCGCGGGTGCAGGCCACGACAGAATGCAGCAAGTCGATGTCGCCAGTGATGTGCGCGGTGGCGCCGATGTCAATTATGGCTTCGCGCTTGTACGTCGACATTGCAGCGTTGCACTCGTCGGTTTCATCTATCGCATATTGACTCAGCTTCATGGAGACAATGTCGGTTTCGAAGTCGACAGCCGGGTCTTCGTCATCCGGACGACTGGACTCGGAAGAGGTCTTCCATTTCAACTTCTTCGGCGTAGTTGCCTTGGTCGGTGCCGCGCCAGCTTGGGCGACCTCCGCCGCGGCCATTGCCATATAGCTGCGTCCACGTCCGCGCCCACTGAAGCGGCCCCCGCCTCGACCGCCGTCGTAACCGCTTCGTCCGCTGCTATTGCCGTGCAGCTTGTCCAGGACGCTGCGCCGTTGAACGCCTTTTGCTTCGTCGGTTTGTCTGCGGCGGCATTCGATGCGGAAGTGGACAGGTTTATGGCACTAGTGGCATTTGCCGTTGGCCGTGGCGTTGAGCGCGTCGTCTGATCTGTCCGCGTTCTTGCGTAGGCTAGAGTTGCTGAGCTTCTGTCGTTCATCGTCTAATTTTAGTTCTTCTAGGACGGACCACGTGGTAGCGAACTTGGTCGTGTCGCGGCTCTCGCGCATGATGTAGCTCACGGTGTTTGCGAAGCGTGGCGGCGGCAGACAAAGAAACCGGGTGCCGTGCGACCGTTCAGGGGTGCCGTCACAGCGGCGGTCATCTTGCGTGTGAGTTCTTGGAATTGGCCGGGAAAGGACTCGAGGCCGATCCGTTCGCTCCTGTTGAGCTTGTACATCTTCATTTGTAACGTCACCAGGCTGACTTCTGACGTGTTCTCATAGATGGTCTTGAGCGCGTTCCACGTGTCGCACGTCGTGTCTACGTGTTGGATGTATTTCAGATGGTCGTTGTGGACGGACAGCTGGATGTACGACAGCGCCACGAGGTCGTCCACCTCGTCCGTGTCTGGCTTGTACTTGCTGTCCGGGCCGCGGTGCGGCTGCAGGTACTTACTTGCCCAGCTTGTGCTGGTTGATCTTAGTTCGCGTTTTGACGCACCATTCGCGGTAGTTGGAGCGTCAGCCTTTAGCTTGTTGGGTTGCCCGTATAGATAACGTTCTGTCATTGGGCACATAACCTATTGACGTTGCTTGCAGGTTTTGGTCGCTGTATGCCGCGATAGGGACGAAAGAGTAGGAGGAAGTAACGGGTGAGTTATCGAGGGTTAAGCTAGCTAGGAGTCTGACAATCAGTGATTCGATTGCCGCGGCTGGACAACCTAATATGCAGTCCTGTATACAATGTGTCTACAGTGTACTTTCTGATGATGGAAAATCACTCGAGCGTCAGCCGACGGCACCTATGTTGCGTCTCAACTTGACGGACCTTGCGAAGGCCGATCCAAAGGCAAATCACAAAGTCAATTTCCCCCAGTGGCAAGTAGTCACTGGGGCTTAACCCTAACCTAATCAGACAGCTACTGGGCAGCCAATAATCTAACTAGCGAATAGGATCACACCCAGGATATCCAACCTAATCGAACACTTGGATACCTTCTTGGGAGGGGTTCAGGTGCTCTGCGAATGGCAAATTCGCAACAATCCCCCCCAACGAAAGCGTCACGCCCAACGCAGCTGCCATCGCCTTGACTTGGGGATCGGCCTTGTTCAAGCGCTACATGCGCTTGAACTCAGTTGGAATGTCTTCCAACAAATTGGCCGCCAGTTCTCACGAGTCTTCAATTGCTTGTAGGCCGCGCCAGCACACACGCACTTCAAAAGCGGCCATTCGATCGTTGTAGCGGCAGTCGAGGAACTGATCGACCACAAGGCCGTCGGCGTTGTGTGCAATGTGGCGCAGCAGTTCTTCCGTCACATCCAAGGCGTCATCGGCGTAAAACTTGAGACGACTGCTGTGGGCTTCACGGACCACCCCCGTCACCAAATTTTGGATTTCAAAAATCCAGTCGGATGTTGTCTTGACCACTTGAGCTGGTCCACGCCATGTAACACTCAGCTTTGAGTGCGAAATCGACTACACGTCTATGTAAAGCACAAAATCGCCCACGTCGAACTGGGCTATTTCCGCACCTTTTTTCTTCGATCTTCTTTCACAGTTTTTCTGACGCTTTCTTGTCGAAGCGTCCCACACCGTCGCATGCATCTTGTCCAGGGCGGTTTCCGTCGCCGCCATGTAATCGTTTCGCCACGATAGCAAGTCGACTAACGTCGTAACGTTTTTCGCCGACGGAATTGGAATGCGATCCAAGGGCGACATCGCTCGGCTACCCGTCATGGCAGTAATCGGTGCCACACCACCGAGTGTGTCGGACAGACTTTGGTTGAGGACCAACATCACCACTGGGACAATCAGCCGCCACTGGTCTGGCTGCATCAACCACTCGGACAGAAGTGCACGGAACGCCTTGAGGGTCGTTTTCATCGTACTTTCGACTGTTCCGTTCGCCCACGGACATCTGGCTGTGGTAAAATGATGATGTGCCCCCAGCACATGCTTGAGCTCGGCAATCACCTCGTTCTTGAAGTGGGATCCCTGGTCACTTACCCAGTGATAACACACGCCAAAAATGCTGAACCACTGCAGCAAACAAAGCACCACAACTTGCGCGTTCGCCACGTCGGATTCCCACAACCACTTGAACTGGCTAAAATCATCCTTGGCCACAAGGATGTAGGCACCATCCATGTATAGAAAATCCCAATCAAGGATTTCATTGGGCTTGTGGTATGCGCCGTTGTACCAAACGGGCGCAAAGCATGACCACCCGTACTGGCACAATGCAAACAACGGCCCACAAAGTACGACACGTCCGAGGCAATATCGGACCACCAAAATCGATCCAGCAGGATCTGCTTCGTCGCGTTGATCCCACAGTGTCCTCCCACACCAAAATACGCGACCACACACAACCGCATCTGCAGGTCACTGGCAGACGTCGGAATCCACACCGCTCCAGTGGTGGTCTTGAGCACCGGCACGTCGTCGTCGCCCACTTCCACCTGGTGTTCCACCACGTCGGCGACAGGAAATTCTCCGTTTCCAACGGCTTGGACTTGATCATCCATGATCTCGGCCATGGTTGGCCAAATGAATTCGCCATTTCGCAACGGCGAAATCTGCAATGGCACGTGCACGATGGGGCATATAAGATTGGAATTTGTTCCCCATCGGGACAACAAATCCGCCCACACGTTGACATCACCAGAGATGTCATAAATGGTGTAATCATACCCCATGAGTAGTAGCGCCCAGCGATCGAGTTTCGCTACCGTGTACTTCGGGATTGCGGCGTTCACACTGGCCGGGGTGAAAATGAACTTGAGGTTTGCGTGGTCAGTGAACAACGCAAATCCACCGGGCTTGTGGAGCAGGTAGTCTGCACGCTTCAGACACTCAACGACCGAAAACGCCTCCTTCTCGACGATTGCCCATCGTTGCGCCCCGCCAGAAAATGCGTCGCTCAGAAACATCAGCGGCTCATGGTCTTGCGCGTCCAATTCACGATCCACCTGATCGTGAGGAATTTGAGTCACCACGCCGCCCCAATGCAAATCGCTGGCGTCGGCGAACACACAACTAAGCTGCTCCGGCCTTGGATGGGCGAGGGTCACCACATGGCCCAGGGCATCCTTGTAACTTGTGAGGCACGCTACATGCTCAGCGTTCCATCCCACGTCGGCCAACACAACTTTGGCCACCTTCTGTCGAGTGCGTCCACCAGCCGCCTTGTACACCGACTCCAGCAGATCGGTAATCGGCTGTACAATGACATTGTACTTCGGGATCGACATGCGCATCCAATTCATGGCGCATATGAATTGCTGCAGATCTTGTCCGATCACCGGCATCTTCAGATCTTGCAACGCCTTGATGCGTTCGGGGTCATGCTTGACTCCTTCGGACAACAAAATTCATCTACACCAGCGCGCTTCGGTTTCAAAGAACCTACACTTCTTCGGGTTGAGCTTGAGGCCGCGCGACTCACAGATGGCCAGGACGCGTTCGAGCACGGCCAAATATAATATCCTTCCTTGGACTTGTCGTAGCCCAACAAACTGTCCAACCAGATCAACAGCGAGCGGTAGAGCTCGTCTTGGAACATTTCTCACAACGACGATTGGCAGTACGCCACGCTGTCGGTACCACCCATGAGCACGCGCGTCGGCGTGTACACACTGGAGTCGGTCAGGAACGAAAACATTTCTTGCGACGCTTCGTCCAGCACAAACTGCCAATAACCCTTGAAAAAATCGAGGGTAAAGAACACACTGGCACCTGCGAGGTGATCCAAAATCACCTCCAGCATCGGCATCGGCCAAATGATGCGCTCCGTCTGTGCGTTCACTGGACGGACGTCCACGGTCATGTGAAAATGGCTCGCTTCGGGCTTCTTGACGATTAATGGTGCCGAACACCATTTTGACCGTGGATTGCGGTAACATAAACCCGCCGCCTGTAGCTCTTCAACGTGCTTGGCCATAACGTCCCGCTGCTCCTTCGAATAGCGGCGCGCCTTGCACCGCACCGGTTCAGCGCCAGCCTTGAGCGTCACACGTAGCGGCGCCACGTCCACCGGCGGATCTCGGCCCAACGAAAGCCGAAACACGTCTTCGTAGCGCAATAACAGCGCCCCCAGCGCCGTAGCGAAATCCTCGCCGCATCCCGCGGCACGGCATTCGCTGACCTTGTCCTTCAGCTTCGAGCGCACCACAACTTGGTCGTTTTCTTTCGACCAATCAGGAGTCACTTGAGGAAAACATGCTTGTTCTTCCTCGGGATACAGCGACGCTTCTTCAGGCGACGATGGTAGTTTTTCCATCGCTTCGACCACCTTCATGGCGGCCATTAGCGGCGTGTCCTTGCCGACGTCGCGACTCACGATTAGGTCGCCCAGTCCGTCTTGTAGTGGCGCCGCCGCCACCCAACACTTGAGGTTCGCGATCACCAGCGTTGCTTCGGCCGTTTCAAAGGTCAGACGTAACTTGACGTCGCGGTCCACATCGAGCTTCATGCCCTCCATGAACCCGCCCAATTCCATCGCGTCGTCCAACTGTCGCACTGGCGACGTAAAATTGCCAGTTTCTTCCAGACGTGATAAAAACGTCGGCGACAACACCGATTGGTCAGCACCACTGTCGAGTTGTGTCGTCGCCTTGAGGTTATTGATGTCGCAATCCAAGGTGCGATGAGCCCGCGCTTCTACCACATCGTTCGCAGCCAACTCTTGGACCTCACGCGCCGATAAAAAGTACAGAGAACCGAGTAGGAACTCGCGCAGTGGTATTTTGAAATATATGGGGAATTGTATGCGAATGTGCAAGTTGTGATTCCGAGTACGAATTATAATTTTGCAATCAGATCAATCTGATTAATTTTATTATATCCAATCATACAATTTACAAACTTTTTATAAGCATACTATTGGTTAAAATATAAAATATGAAAAAAATACTATTGGTTGACGTCGGAATTTATGAATGCTCCATGGAAAAAAAATAGTGTCGATACCACTGTGCGCGAGTTCCTACTCGGTTCTCTGTAATCGCGCCAGTCGTTTTCGGTAATTTCTTCCAACGAATTTCCAAAATCATGTGCGCACACACGCGGCACAATCTTCTGGTCAATGCATGCCGCCAACGGCATCAAAAACATGGTACCGCCCATGCCGCGGTTTAGCACTTCCATGCGTCGCGAGTAGGCTAGATACTCGTCCATGAACTCACGACACTCGCGCTTCTTGCTACCCTTGTACATAGGTGCCAGCGGCACCTGTTGCAGACCCATGAGGTTCTCCATGCGGCTTGTCGGCGCCGCTTGTTCGGACGGAAATGGCGATCGTTGATTGGTCGCTGCAGTGAATAATCACCATCGCTCGCAATCCCATCTTCTATCCGCCTCGGCATGGCTTCTTGCAGCGCATGGAACTGCCCCAGCTGTTCATATGTCATTTGGTTGAAATGACTTGACGTCATCGCCGCTGGTTCCACACTTCGAATCCGCAGCTCGTCCATCTTCTCTTGATTCTCAGCTGTTCATACGTCATTTGGTTGAATGACTTGACGTCATCGCCGCTGGTTCTAGACTTCGAATCCGCAGCTCGTCCATCTTCGCTTGGTTCGGCAATGGCACGGCCACCACCGTCTCCATAGACCGCGTTTGCGTCACACAAGCCATGTTGCTCGTAAACGGCAAACTTCCTTCTTCCATACTGGTACGGCAAGTAGCAGGCTAGGCTGTTACTAAAGAATGCTTTGTTGCGTCTCAACCTGACGGACCTTGCGATGTCCGATCCAAAGGCAAATCACAAAGTGAATTCCTCCCAGTGGTAAGTAGTCACTGAGGCGTAACCCTAACCTAATCAGACAGCTACTGGGTAGCCAATGATCCAACTAGCGAATATAATCACACCCAGGATATCCAACCTAATCGAACACTTGGATACCTACTTGGGAGGGGTTCAGGGGTTCTGCGAATGGCAAATTCGCAACACTATGGCTGTGTGCAGGGTTAATACTAACGTCCCTCGTCGGTGCCAGCGGAGTCCACGAGTGATAGAGGACTCCGCTGCAATGAATGAAGCTCGCGAGCACGACTCCGACAGAAATGATGTCTTTCGTTTGTGGCAGAGGAGCCCACTACCGGGGGCACCGCGGTACACGAACGAAGTGGCCCCCCTGCCACCAAGATTTCATTCGGGGTCGTGCATAAGAGTTTCGGAATTATGAATTGAGCGATATTCTCTGCGCTGACCAATTCCCCGAGTACTATTAATACTATTCATAGTATTAATCCTTCGAAGTATTAATATTAATACTTGAAGTACAGTAGTTAGTACTACGTACAGTAGTATTTACCTGCTCAGTCAATTGTGGCAGTGATAGTACAACTGACTGAGTTGTATGCCGGTGTTTAACGTTAGCATTGAACTTATCGTACAGTAGCAAGCAATTAGTCCCACCCGAGGTCAATATACCGTATGTTTGGGCGAAACGGCTCCCAAGAAAATGAAGGATGCTACTCCTCCGC